TTGGCTTGGACCATAGCTCCTTCTTGTCCAAGTACTGTGGCACGAACCCAACGTCCTTTATCCTTGAACTTTGATGAATCCTGAGTCCAAACAAAAACCTTCTCTCCTTGGAAATAAGGACCGTCACTTGGCATAGTCCTTCTTGCAAGATCTGCTCGAAGGTCCTGAGCTTGTCGTGCTTCTTGATGAGCTCTCAAAGCCACACGTTGTAGTTCCAAATTTGTACGATCTTGTGCGGCGGCATTAGCTGACAATTGCTCAGGGCTTGCGGTCTCAAGGTCAAAAAGATCTGGTGGACGTCTTCCAGTTGCTATCTCTATTGGTGAATATCCACTGATAGTCAACTGACAATTTCTTGCCCAAACTACCTTCTTGACCACTTCTCTGACCGTAACACCACGAAAACGTGGGTCATCCAGATCTACCTTCATAACATGCCACATACGTTTGAACAAACGTACAGCTGTCTCTGCTCGGTTCGGCCAAGGAGTTCTTGGCCCACAAGGACATTGTTGTATACCATGGAACCTGTAGTATTCAACAAAAGCATCGGTGAAAAAGGCTTCGTCTCCTACGATGGCCTTTGGAACACAGTTGTTCTCATCAGACCATTGCCTCAATGCTTGGATGGTGGTTTGATCTATGAGGTCTTTCTGTGCCGTAGCCCAGAGAAGATTTGTGGCACCATCAAGAACAAGTAAGATGATATACTTGTTCTTGTGAAGTTCAACCTCACAATGATCAGCAAAAACAACATCACCAAAACATGAAGCTCTAATACCGGAGACTCTGGCTCGTGGCGGAGGTGCCACTGAAGTGTTACAAACACGGCAGTTCCTGACAACTGACTCATACTTCTCTAAAACAGAGTCAGGAAGCTTCAACATAGAAACACGTCTACGAAACTGAGTAGGACTCATATGGTAGTGCTTCACATGAAGCTTATAAAGCTCTACCTTGTCCTCCAGTCTCTGTAACATCTTCCTATACGCCGGTGTCATTGCAACAACTTCACTACCAGGTAATGGGATTGAAATCCGCCTAGGCTCAAGAGCGCCATCACCTGGTTCAAGTGGTTCATGTTTATCACTTGATAGTCCTTTCGATGCTTTAGGAATTTCTACAAGTTCACCTTCTGGCCTCTCAGGTGGTTCTGAGGGAGCATACTCCTCAAGATCATCACCCTTTAAATCATTCTGAGGCTCAGATGGTTTTGACTTGTGTCCCTTCCAAAATGGATCAAAACCCTTGGAAGTATACCGAAACTTTGGCGGCACGGGCTTTTCCGCGGCACTTGATGGTGCACCTTCCTTCTCTGACGAGAAGCCTGGTTCCCTGTCCTTTGCAATGGGAACCTTCTCTGAGGAGGAGCGCACCACTGCATCGGGATCACCAATGCCACGGTGCTCAATGCCAGCCTTCCTGATCTTTAGATCTGGAATTTTGGCATCTGGTTTGAACTTAAAAATTGTTCTACCACGCCATTCATAGCCAATTTGTAGGTCCTTCCATTTTGCCTTACGCCAATCATCTAGCTTCTTGATTTCTTCTCCTCCTTTCTTCTTCTTGATGATTGTCAGTCGCAAGTCTTCCAGTAAGTCAGTGTCTACAGGACAGGACTTAGTTGCTGGAAAAAGAATCTTTCTATAATCCTTGTGGTGACGTATCAGTTCTCTCTTGTGAACATCTACTTCCCAGTAGTCAACCACAGGATATGCATGTTCAGCTACATCTTCATCACTATTGTGATCAACAGAAATATGACCATATTCATAGTGAGTGAAGTGAGAGTAAAAACTCTTCTCGCGCCGAGTGCAAATTCACGTCAGACAGATACCATGCAATATCTTGGAAGTCCAAGACAAGATGAGTACTGGCTGCAACCTTCAACTCCAAATATTTGATACCAAGAGGCACCGATGTCAGATAAGCATGTTGAGGTGTCAGCCTGAGTTCAAAGCCTAAGTTCCTCATCTGTGGCAAGCTCATAAGCAAAGGGACTTCTCCTTCTTCCACTATGTCGAACTCTGTACGGTGGATCGTCCATGCACGATCATACATGTAAATCACCAGTTTCTGAGAGCAAGTAGCCTTCTGGGAATTGGCAAAGTAAAACTTGCTCTTGGTAGCCTCAAAAGAGTACCATAATCCACAATCTGGGTGATTTTCGACATAGTTGCAAAAATGGTCGACTGCTCGCCTTGATCCCATAGCTCTAGTGCATCCAATGTCCAGGATTGCAATAGTCGGCGGGAAGCGATTCTCAGTCAAAAATGAAATGGCCTGCATCTCTTTCACTTCTTCCTCAGCGCTCATAAGCGCAAAGCTATCAGGAGCCTTTGTGAGCATCTCCCTTGACAAAGAGTACCTCACAGGGGCACTCATGCCATCGAAGATCGTCTCACCATTGTTGACATTACAGTCAGCTTCATCTTGACATGAGGTCATCATGCCTGACAGCAAGTCCACCTCACTGTCATGGACTTCAGCTACTGTTGTCACACAATGTGCAAAGAAACCTTGTTGACCTCCTGATGCTTGTGAAGATCTTGAAGGTGCAGGTAAAGAACGTGGCTGTTGTTGATTTGCATAGTTTGCATCTTGTTTGCCATCTCCTTTATCTTTTCCTTTTCCTTTCTTGCCTTTTCTCTTGCCTTTTCCTTTTCCTTTGTGGGAAAACCATGCTTCTTCAAGCTGTTGCCAAAAGTCATTGGCATCTTCATATTCTCCTTGAAGATAGTCATTCATATCTTCGGCAAGAATGGCATCATATGCTACTTGGTTTGACTCCCAAGTGTCCTCATAAGGATTCTCTTCAAAGTACTCTTCTGGATATGTTGTCTGTTGCTCATCAGCAAAATGGCCTTTACCTCGTCTCTTTCCTTTTCCTTTTCCACGAGGTCTGAAGAATCTGCGGCCTGATCTTCCTTTACCTTTTCCTTTTCTTCTTCCTTTTCCTTTGCCTTTTCTGGCTCTTCTTCCTTGGAATCTCCTTTGGAACCACGAGAAGTTTTGATCATCATATACCCAAAAGACATCGTCCAGGGCGTCTAAAAATCCTTCTGTTCCATCTTCTTCATCTTCGGCCCAATAGCCAAATGTACCATCGAGTTCTCCTTCGTCTAGTACGAGAAATGATCTTCTACCTCCAGCACCTGTTGGCTGCATCAAAGGATTGTCTACTGAAGTCTTTGTCGCGCAGAACATCTCGATGAACACTGTCCTCAACTCTGTTGTAGTGTATTGCTGCAGGACCCTGCCACGATGAGTCATCAAAGAAGTCAAAGTGTTTCGCTGGTCCTGAGACAAATCTGCAAGTGACAGCATGAGTAAGGCAATGAGATTTTCTCCTAGAGGAAATTCGTTCTGATGAAAAGTCCTCATATTGCCATTGATGGTCTGTATGATTTCCTGAATCCTTTCTGCCGTTGGCGCTACTCCAGTCAACGCTGCATCTGCCTGCATCTGAGCTAGGACCTGTGGATGTGCTTGAGTGACTGGTTCTAACATGTCCATCCAACTGCTCATAAGCCTTTGGAGTAAAATCTGGAATCTTGTCATCCATTTCATCATGTCAGCTGATCCTCGATTGAAGCGCACGAATTGCATAAATCTATACAGGAATACATTGGTTGATCCTTTCACGAAATATGGTCGTAGTACTCGTTTGAAATATTCTACGCCGGCTCCTGGTGGATCATTTGCCTTCAATGCATCTCTGTCTAAAACACGCTTGTATACAGCTGCTTCTCCTTCTAATCTGTTTCTCAATGCTGGTCCTCTCTTCTCATCTTCCAGCTCGGTGATATCACACCAATCGTCTATGGCATCCTCATAGGAAAACCATGAAGTCTTTCCATCATAAGATGGGGGCACCTTTGTAGTGACCTGTGTTGTCATTGCTATTGCTGCTGGTTCTCTTCTCACATGCCTATTCACATAGGCTGCTGGCTCATAAGCCACATCCGCATCAGGCTCTTCCCAGTCGTCTATCCAATCCATGGCTGTTTGCCCACTAGCAAGTCTATGCCTAGGAAAGGAGCTCACCTGGGTCTTCCAGGATCACTGCTCCGCTACCACTGAAAGAGTGACTAGGGCGTACACGGTAGAGGTGCAGACCGCTAGTGTCTTTTATGCGCAGAGTCTTATCCTCTTGCTCTTTGAGCCTTGAAGCAGTCAAGCATGGACACACTATATCGGCTGTTGGAGTGGAACCCTGTACAGGAAGGCTCTACTTTTCAG